ATTACAACCTCACTGATTTTACTAAACAACATCAAATAAACAAATTATCAGTAATTCAAATGATGTATAACTGCTAGAAAAATATCTACCATATATCATTATCAATATAATCCATCATATTCATTCAAAACCAACTGATATATATTGTGTAGCAGATATTTTAACCAATGTTAAATTGATGTGTTGAAATATAAATTAAGCACAAAAGAACACAATTCTTTTTTTTTAACCAATACTAAAACTAGATTTAATGATGAACGGAGGAGTTGATGATTGTTTACGTGTATCGATCATTGTATACTAAATTATCTATCCTAATATTGACTTTTGTTATTATAATATTGAAGACTTTTGCGCCACACAATAATAAAAAGCTGAAAACTGGCCTAATCTGTAAACCTGTTTTTATATTTGTTTATTCTGCAAAACAGGAAAAAAGGAACACTCTATCACTTTTAATTCTTCCAATTTTATATCTATTGATAAATTTTTTTATTTTAATTTAAAATTTGATAAGTTATCTTTGCATATTTTCAATCTTTATATATCATATAGTTAAGACATAAGTTGAAATTTAAATATTTGCAAATATCCGATAAGTTGAAATTTGTCCGATAAGTTGAAATTCGAATATTTGCAATATCCGATAAGTTGAAATTTAAATATTTGCAATATCCGATAAGTTGAAATTTAAATATTTGCAATATCCGATAAGTTGAAATTTTTTTTGCACCAAATTTAATACATTTATATTTCTATTTTATTATTTCAAATGCTATATATAGTTTTTTAGTATTTTGCATTCAATAATTTGGTAGGATACTATCTTATAGTAAGTTATTCTTAAAGTAAGTTGAAGTAAGTGTATTTTTTTATTATTGTTTATTACACATTTGAAAAAATAAAATAGAAATTAGAAATATAAATGTATTAAATTTGGTATTAAAGTAAGTTGGCATTAATTTATTTCGATTAAATAAGTTGGCATTAATTTATTACGGTATAAAATAACGATGAAAACTTTTGATAATAATAATAAACATTGTTGAACGATAATATTAATATTATGTAATGAATGAAAAAGAAGTTAGAAATTTTCATGATACAAATTATTATCCATAATAATTTAAAGAATAATTTAATTATTCTATCATTCGTACAATTCTTTGATAAATATTAATGATAATGATATTGATATATGACTGACTAATGTTTGTTAGTGATAAATTTTTCGTAGCTTTATTATATTTCGCAAATACAAGCAGTGATACTAATTGTTAATTAGTTTAATTAGTAACATGCATCATATGCTTTTTACAATTTAAAGCATATATTAGGTAAAATACAAATTACTAATATAATTTCAATGAGATTATATTGCAGCAAATTTTATTTACAATCCTTATGTGTTACTTCAAATTTTCCCATTATTTTTTATTTTGATTAAAATTTTATCGAAATTTTTTAAACTTTAATATTAATAATATTATTTCCCATTTATATAATATAAAATAATAAAATAATGTTAAATTACTTTATAATATAAAAGTAATAATATTAAAATACTTTTAATATATTCAATGATTGTTAACGTTTAGTATTTCCTTCATAATGGATAATATATTTAATTAAATTTTTAAAATAAATTTTATTTCAATTTCTTCAATTATCTTATTTTAATAGGATGCAAAATTTTAATAGAGCTAAATATCAGGGTTAAAGGTTAAGCAAACATGCATTTTTCTTATTCAATTCATTATTCATCATTTATATTGAAAGATGAGATTTTAATTTGGTAGATAAATTAGCTGTTTTATAGGTGTTCATTGAATATTGAAGAAAAAATTTCTTTCTCTCTTTTTCTTCTTTTCTATTTTTTATTATTACAAGCTAAACTTTTCTCTTTCTTTTTCTCTCTCTCCCTCTATATATCTCTCTTTCTTTACTCCATATTATTACAAGCTATGAAGTAATGCCGAAATTTCTCACTTCAACTTATAATAACAATAAGAAACTTTGTTTTCTTAAGAATAATTTTCTTTTTCGAATTTCTCTTTAATTTGCATAATCGCTTTGTTTTAATATTTTCAATGTAAAATCATTTGGTAAATGTAATTTTGAAATAAGTTTAGGATTAGAGTAGTATTCACTTTTATGATATCAAATTATTTTTTTCATTTTATACCAACCAGTCGTTCAATCAAAAACTTCTCTTTTATATTGCTGATAAGAAAGGCTCCTCGTATAAGAATTACAACTTAGATTGGCTACATTTCATTTCTCTTTATCCATTCAAAAGAAAAATTCTTGTTTTTATCACTAATCATAACTGATATCATTATGATATTAATCAAAGAATATTTTGTGAGTTTATCAAAGTTCTCTTTTTTTTTTCTATTTTAGGCATATTTTAGTGCAAAAAATTCTCTTGAAATATTTGAAAGAGATTGATAATAAAGGAAGTAAGAAATGGGCAGTATCTTATTAACAGATAAGTGTTAAGTTTTGTGAGAAGAATGGATGCTGTAAAAGAGAAGAAAAATAGTGTGGTACTAGCTATGGTACTAGTATGAATTCTAAAATAGTATCAAACAAGCAAATGATTATTGTGAATAAGCGAATGCATGAATAGATAGATGAGTGACTGTTAATAGAAAATAAGGGTGATTAATGAATGCATCATAATTGTTATCAGTGATAATGAAATTGCTAATACCACTGTGATCATCAAAACAAATAAAGATAAGCTTATAAGAGAAGGCCACCTCATATGAGAAGAGGAATTCGATTTAATTTTACTACCAACAGAAGAAAATATTATTTGCTTCTGCTACCTATCTTCATTATGTTCCTTCAAAGTATATCTTAAAATATTACTACACGTGAAGAGATACGTGATCCGCAAAGAAGATTAAAGATGAAGCGGTAGTAGTGAGATAAATATTTAAGTTAAGGCATTTGCTTCTAAATATCAACAATAATAATATTATTATCATTATATTGTCATTGCCTCTCATATTCATTATATCATTACTATTATTTATTCATTATATTCGATATTAGTAAACAATAGCAATGATATAATGAATATATATTTACTATCAACAGAAAATATTATTTGCTTCTGCTACCTATTTTCATTATGTTCCTTCAAAGTATATCTTAAAATATTACTACACGTGAAGAGATACGTGATGATATAATGAATATATATCATATGTGATGATATAATGAATATATATGTGATGATATAATGAATATATATCATTGCTATTATTTACCAACATCAAATTTTACTTATTATTGGGAGAAATTCATGATTTTATAATTCGAGATTTATAATTACGCTAATTAGTTCCTAATGAAATTATTTGATACCAAGTAAAAAGCTATGCTCTTTCTCTCTTTCTCTCTCTCTCTCTCTATATATATATATCATTGTATCATTTCAGAGAGTATATTCAATTATTATTTGACAAACTTTATAGGTGTAATTTTACTTGCAATATTGTTTATTGCATTTATTTGAATTGAAATGAAATATTTCTGACGAACTTCCAATTGTTTTATAATCGTGCGATTTTTTTTCTTGTTGACAACTTCATTTCGTAAATTCTGTTAGCAAAATTTTAAATAAAATTGTTCTTTTAATTGTTAACATTTGCCATTTAACTTGTAAAGTATAGTAAACAGATTTAGAATGATAAAGGAGCCGCTCTATCGTATAATCCATCAACTTTTACTGTATTTTTCAGCAGTCAAGAGCAATATTCTTAAGTGGCTGGCTACATCGAATGGTCATTCACTTTCACCAATCATTCATTTAACCAACCAAATTATTTGTAATATTTATTCTTTGCTATTGCAACTGCTGGAAAAATCAAACTTAGAAGAAGTATTGTTTTTACTGAATTACGATTTATCCTCTTTTAAATGAATATAATTTTTTTTCTAGCTTGTAAAGAATCAATCTACTTCTTATTTATTCGTATGATTTATGTGTATCAATGAATCATATGTGATATGATATGATATGATATGATTATATGAAAATGTTATAACTATCAAAATACGTCTTTTTTTTCATATCACTTAATTTGAAAATAATTGCAGAATATGGGGGATAGGAATGAAAATTGACAAATTGGCTAAAATGATGGAAGATATTTCAATCTGCCTAAAAGCATTTATTGATGATGGTAAACAATGGCTGGCGAAGAATCTCATGAAATGTTTGTTTTTGATTTTTGAATTCAAAAAATTAAATGGATCGTGTTTTTCTTTCTTTTTTCCTCTTCTACTTCTTTTTAAAAGGAATGATATTAAAGTGTTCTCAGAAGGTACGTTTAAATTACGTTTACCGATGAAGATCGGAAGATGTTGTGCTCGATGAATTTTCTTTCTTTCCTTTCTAATTCTTTAAGAATGTTATTCCTTCTGATATTTTGTGCATTATGTTGCACAAGAAATCTTATCAGAAAGATACGATTATCAAATAGAAGCTTATCAGAAACTTATCTTCACCTGCAGTTATTGATAAATATGATTAAAACTGTTAGATAATTGAAAATTTTAAAAATAAGCTATAGCTCTATTTGACGGATCGGAGTTCGTTGAAAAAAAATAAATTATAAGATTAAAAGCTTTGCAGGTATTTTGCAAAAGATAAAATATTGAGGAAAAAAATTGTTCAAAAAATAAGTTTGAATATGCAATTGATAATTATCAGAAATGAAACATTCATTAACAATAGCCATTGATAAATATGATAAATTAAAAATTTACAAGTTTCCATTACTAGTGCTAGCATTCATTAATATTTATAGATCAGCTAATATATAATAAATGTGCTTTAGGAATGATGCGACATTTCAGACAGATGCATTTCATCGTTTGGAGTTAATAATAAATTTGTAGTATAAAATATATTGTTTAGATGGAAAATTGAAAACAGAAGAAATTAAGAGTTAAAATGAAAGTGGAAAAAGTAATGAAATAAAATGGAAGTGGAAACGAAAATTGATGATAATTATTTATTTGTGCTAACAGAACCTGCTACCGTATTATTAGTTGCTTGCACGCTCGATGCAAAAGTATGTTTTTCTCTTCTGCTAATTTTATTCTATAATTTTCAAATTATATATTCATAAATTAAAATGATATAGAAAAGTTAATCGAACTGAATAGAACATTTTTTCAATGACAAGAACACATATATATATATATGCAAATTAAGAAATAATAACCAATATAATATATGCAAATATAATATATGCAGAATATAATCCTATAACCATATAATATATAATCATATAATATACGCAAAATCAAAAAATCATAAATTAATCGTAACTGAATAGAATATTCAATGATAAAAACATATCATATAATATATGATAATATGTAAATGCTTTAACATCATATGTTTATTCATATTTTTATTATATTATGTATGTAATTTACTATATTTAGCATATACCAATGTGGCATATTATTTTTTTTGATTTGCCTTATTTTTACTAATGTATTGATTTACGTCGTTTACGTGAAACACGTGAATATCTTCTTGTTATTTCTTCATCTCTCACAAAAATACCGCTACATCTCTATATCTATTTTGAACGGGAGAGAAGGGAAGAGGGAAACAAATAATCTTTTAGTTTAACATAGAATAAATTCTGTTAATTTTAATCATATCAATATCATATGATATCAATTTCTTTTTCTTCTTCTAGGGGCGTATTTTTCGGGCTGATGATGGTATGGCTTTATTACTCGGATACATTTCCATGCGAGAACTTTTAGGCATAGAAATATCAAAACTTATCCCCGCTTTACAAGTAAGTAACTTTTACCTATATTAATTTTCTAACATTTATATTTAATTTACTCTATTGCTAAATGATGAAATTATAGGTTGAGGTGGATAGTGAAGTGCAGCATGTTTGCGCATTGGGTGTTCATGGTAATTCAATTCCGGTTACTGTGAAGATTAATACCGAAAAGGATCCAGAAAGTGAGATGAATCATTTTTTACTTAAAACTTTTTTTTACTCCTTTATTGCTTTGTTTTGAGATTTCGGGAGATAAAACAAATTATTTAAAATTTGATCAATTGATATCAATTGATATCAATATCAATATTACATCGAATACTTGACTGTAATAGTATTATTTAAATTTAAAAATATATTTTGTGTATTTTTAAATTTCTAAATTTCATTCTACACTAAATACATGAATGAATTCATATAGCAAATCTTCAAGCATATCTTTAACTAATTGTTGTTATTCATTATCGTCTGAAAATGAAAAAACAATTAATTCATTTTAACAAATTTAATCTTTCATTCTTTCATACAATTTTCTTCCTTTTCTTTTTAAATGATATGATATGATTTCATGCTCTGTAAATCTTTTCAAATTCCTTTATTGCCATTTATTTTGATAGAAAAATTTATAATTAAAATGATAATATTCCTTATCAATAGTGATAACATTTCTTATCTTTTAATAGTTATAATGTTGAATATACATATAAGATTTTCCTGTATTACTCAAATATTTTGCACATTTAAAATTTCAATCTCACATAAATTTCTCATTTCCTTAATTTTACAGAAATATAATATAAATGATAGAGGAAATTTAGATCTTTGTATGAACTATCGATTGGTTTGATCTTTTTTCGATCAATCATAAACTGATCAAATTATCATTATCTTTTCAGCACAACGACCACTTTTATATGAGTTAAAAATTCGAGCATTTTCCACTGTGAGCGGTATTGTCATTTTGACAGAATCCGGCGCTTTACATAGTTTCAATGAAAATTTTATTGAAGCATTGATTGGTAAAAAGCAAAGTGAAGCGCTAAAAGATATAACTGTATGTTGATAACATTCATTTCGATTATCAAAATCTTTAGTTTAACAAAATTATCAATAACTTAAATGGCATGATATTTGAAATGGAATTGTATTAAGCACAAATAGAATTATAATAATTTAAAATTTATAATCATAAAAAATTATTGAATTATTATTTACAACAATTTCTATTCCAGCATATCACCGATATAATTCCAAAATTTCATAGTCATCTTATGGCTTCACCATTAGACGAAATACATAATGATACGGCGATGAAAATTTCTGATGAACAATTCGATTATGCTGTAAATAATAAAGGTTTGTGACTATTTCTAATTATTTTGATTATGAAATCATTGAAAGTATCAAATTGACAAAAATGAATTTCATAATTGATTAAAGTAAAAAATATGGAAATATGCAAATTTGCAAATTTAAAAAAGAGTTATAAAAATTAAGCTATTAATTAATTGATGTTATTTTGTTTCAGATACATTTCATTCTCATACACATTCATCAGTTACATGGCTGATAAATGATCTAACCTTATCATATCATAAGATGGAAGAAACGGGAAGTGTTGTTAGTATCAATTCCTCACATTCATCCATTTCATGTGCTGAAGAAGTATGCTCATCAAAACCCTCAACAAGGTGTTATTTTATATTCTTCCCCTTCAGATGATAATATCTATTATTTGATCTGGTAATTATTATCAGAGATAAATGGAATATGCTCGATAATTTGGACTAAGTAATATTTTCAGCTCACAACTTATTGAAAGTATTCAACTCTGTGATAATATTCAACAATGGAATGAAATAATAACTGATCAGGAATGTTGTAATAAATCAATTACAGAAGGTTCATTCTATGGTTTTGCAAAACATTCCGATAGCAATTTGATTGGTTTGTTTGATTCTTCATTAATATAGCTAAAATAATAATTAACGCAGTAACAGATTAATTGATCAATAATTGACCACTAAGAAGAATTACTGATAAGATTTACTGTATAGCTTAAATAACTAAGAATTCACTGATAGATTTATTGACCGTCAAGAAGAATTACTGATAACAATTCCTGATAAGTTAAATTAATTACTAGAAATGTTGAAAATCTAAATGTTGAAATATAAAATAATATTGTAAAGGATTTTATTTTATTTTTTCAAAAAGTAAATATTTCCAAAAAAATTTTCAATCTTCTCATTTTAGCCATATGTTTCAATATAAGGCGACTGAAGCCAAGTAATGGCGCAACTTGGGCTGTTTGTATCAGTTACAAAAAGACAGTTAATTTTAATTTTTTTGATCAAACCGAAAAGAAAGGATCAATTATGGAAAGTATCTGTGATAATGGGCAAGATATTTGCGCCCATAATAATGATAATTATCAATTAGATTTAAAAGTTGAAAAAAATCAAACGACTACGGTTAGTTATATTTTATTATGGCAATCTTTTATCGTTGAAAAAATTTTTTAAATAATTTAAATAATTAATTTGCTATTCTCATTTTGATATAATTAGAATGCTATTGTGCTATTTTTTCTTTTTTTCTTTAACCCTCTCTTATTTTTATAAAATTTCACTCATTATAAACTTATAAATGAAATATTATTTTAAGGCTGAAAAAGATGATGAAAATGCTCAAGCAGTAGCTGGTGAATATTCAAAATATTATAATACACAACATTTGATTGGTAATGGTGCTTTTGGTTCGGTAAAATTAACCGCTCGAAAGGATACGGGTATTTTGGTGAATGATTTTGAATTTCTTATTTACTTTTAGAAAAGAAAGAGATCAAATTTTTTATTTAATAATTTATCGTTTGTAAAGTTTTAATTAATGAATGCAAATTTTTGAAAGTGTAAAATTATAAGTGATTTCAATTTTTTTTGGGCATAAAATTTTAGGCGGTTGCAAAATTTGTTTGTAAAGCAAAAGTCTTTTCTGAAAGTTGGGTACCAAGTCCTAGACGTGATAATCGAGTGGTACCAATAGAGCTTCATCTTCTCGAAACATTATCACATCCAAATATTGTAAAGGTTTGACTTTTTAATTTTTACATTTATGAATTATATCTTTTTCTATTCTTCAATTTCGATAACTACTTCTACAAAATGATCGCATTCTTCTATTCATCAATTTTTGCTACTTTTTTGATCGCATTTTTCTATTCTTCAATTTCAACAACTACTTTTACAAATGATCACACTTTTCTATTCTTCAATTTCAACAACTACTTTTTATAAATGTTATTTTGCAGTTATTAGATGTTTTTGAAAATGATATGTATTATCAATTGGTGATGGAAAAACTTGGCTGTGGAATGGATCTATTTGAATTCATTGAGCAGCAACCGAAATTAGATGAACCACTTATAAGCTATATTTTCAAACAGGTTTATAACAATGAATTAAAAATTATTTAATTTTCATAATTTTACCATCAGATAATTTAACTGAAAAATTTTTCTACATATTGATAATGTTGTGGTGAAGATTTTACTTGAAAAAAAATTTGTTTTTTTAATAAAATTTATATCGCAAAAATGGGCTAACTAAACTTTTAAAGAATTTAAAAAAATTTTTTCAAAATAAAATTTTTCAAAATTTAAATTCATTTTTTCTTTACATATAAGCTTTCGGTAAATTGAATAAATAAAATGAGAAAAACAAAAGGTGTCTATTTCAGGTTGTTAGTGCAGTAGCTTATCTTCACTCCAAAAATATTGTACATCGCGATTTAAAAGATGAAAATGTTATTATTGATCATAATTTTTCATGCAAATTAATTGATTTTGGATCAGCTGCCTATTTTGGTCATAATTTTGTTTTTTCAACATTTTGTGGAACAATGGAATATTGTAGTCCTGAAGTTTTGCGAGGAAATAAGTAAGTTTGTTAAGTTTATTTAAATAATTTCTATTGCTTTTTAAATCTTCTAAAATTATTCAATGAGAATTATTATGTATTTATTTTATATTAAAAAAGAATCATTAATGGTTATCTGAAATATTGATTGACTTATTCAGATATCGCGGTCCTGAACTAGAAATGTGGTCTTTGGGAATTTTATTGTATACACTTGTATTCTTCGAAAATCCTTTTCGCAGTTTGCAAGAAGCTATGCACGCTAAATTTGAATTTCCATGGGAAGTATCAGAAGGTAAATATATTTCTGTACAAAACATGTGTTCCACATTTACACAGAGCGTGTTACACGTGTTTTATGTTATACGTTCAAACAAAGCGTGTTACACGTATTATATTTTATATGTTTACACAAAACGTGTCACACGTGTTTATCCTAAAATATCTGGAAGATTTTCTTACATTCATTCTTAACGATAAACATGTAACAATAATAATGAAAAATCCCATGTTAATTAGGATTCTAGTTTTAAAATTCGGATAGTATCTAGTTTGAAGTTTTCCATTAAAAAAAAAGTTTAAATTTATCCTAAATTATATTCTAGGATTGTTTGAAGTAATTAGTTGGCTTCTACAACGTGATCCACAACATCGAGCTACAATACGAGATATTAGCAATCATTGTTGGGTAAAGCAATCAATTGATTTGCAAAAATATAAATTTAAGGATGTGCTTCAAAAATATGGTAATTAATTACTAATTTAATTTTTTTGCATATAAAAAAGTAAATAATTTCCAATTATTATCAGATCAAAAAGCAAAAATTCTCTTCCCTAAGAAATATGAAAATTTTTTATATTAATTAATTTATTCTTTTTAAGTGACATAAAACATTTCAAGTATGAAAAAGAAAGATATAGTCAAAATTACTAATTGTTTATTTTATATTTTAATATATTTATCATATTGTTGTGTAAAGTATCAAACAGATGAGCTGCTATTTTGAATAAAAGTGAAGAAAATTATTTTTGATAAACAAAAAAGTAAATGATAAACAAAAAGGATAAACAAAAAAGTAAAAAACAAAAAGCCATATTTAGCAAAATTCAAAATTTGACTTCTAATTTTAAATTCAAATTTATATTTCATTGGTTTCAATTCCGATCATATTATTTGTTTAATAATTTTCATCATAATAAATGAATTTAATTTTAGATCATCGTTCACAATTTGTTCCATCGGATCATGAAACAGAATTGATAAATGATTTGAAAATTACGCCAACTTGTTTATCATCATTAGTAATTGATGCTAAATCGAATGCAAGAAATGGAATTGAGAATTAAAATCTTGCAAATATCATATCAGTATTGCTTATTCGCTCGTTTTTCTGCCACTTGAAAAATTCAAATATATGAATTCCATTGAATTTAATTTTGTAAATAGCTTATGGAATAATATTAATTAATAGTAATTAATAATAATTTCATTTATCTCTTCTCTTTACTTCCTGCCACTATTTTCTCTATTGAAAATTCCATTGCATTTGCTCAAAAAAAAAGGCAACTTTCTTTTGTTAAACTTTGAACTTTTGATCTTGAAAAACGTCTGTCAATAGATTTAATTAAATTAGATTAATTAAATTATATTATCTAATCTAATTTACAATTAAATTCTTTTCCATCTTTTCATCAATTTACACATTCACTTATTATTATCCCATCCCTCTTTTTTCAACATTTCGGTATTTTCAACAAAATCGTTTAATAAATAAATTATCGATTAAATTTCATCATTTCTGCAAAGTCTGATGAATTCGTAATTTCTAATGAACAATTAAATTTCAAGAAAAAATTTTGCAATGAAAAAATTTATTGTTTTATTTTATTGAACAATTGTTTACTCTAATTTTGTGTACATTCATTTTCTATTAATTTTTATTTTGTATCTAAATTAATGTCAGGGTATTATTCTTTTGTTCGTTGTATTTTAAACTGTCAATGAGAACAGCATTTTTAGTATATGCAAATTTTAAAGTTTAGAATAATATCAGCAGATGATATCATTCTGATACTTAATGATTACGTGAAACAGTTGAATAATTATCAGCAATTTTTTAAAATGTTAGTTATCATTTGTTATCTTATTATCTGTTGCTCATAATATTAGCTTAAAATATGATTAAATAAGAATAAGAATGTGAGATGCCATTTTGAAGGGTTATTTTTGATTCCATTTGCTTACAAAAATAATGATGATGGTATTCTTTCCACTATATCCTGCAAAACATTCACAGAACTTAACATCTTATACGGATCAAGTCGTATGATATCATTATCATTCCGTATTCAGGACTAGAGAACAATCGATAAATCAAACTTAGATCATCATCTGTTTTTGTGATCAAAATATACTTGCCAAATTTTAAAATTTATCAGCTATGCTTGAATTTTACAGTTCTTTCATTTTACATTGTACCAAACTGAGTTATTCCAATACTTATTTTAGTATTATTATTATCAGAAGTATATTACTTCTTTCTATGCTTCATTTCTAGCAAATAAACATACATTATGCATTTTATTGTTTATGGATTTTTACCAAGAAGTTATGAGATAGGAAATTATTATACAAAGAAATGCAGACTGAACATATTAGATGATATCAGATGAGTATGATTGATAAAATCATCACTTCTTTATCAATCTTTGAAATATGAAGTCATTCATTCTTAATTCTACAATCATCTATTCTGCTTTAGAATATTTTTGAAAAAGAAATCTTATTTGGAAATTCTAATGATGTTGATTTTGATAGAGCGGTTCCTTTTGTTGCTGTTGAATTTGCGGCACAGTTGTAGCGGATTGCGGTATCGCATCCATTGCAGTAATTGTAGATTCAGATTCGAAACCTGATTTTTTTGATCTGAAATAAAAATAAGCGATGAAAAGATTGATCATTTAGGAAGCTTTGTAATGTGCAAGTATTTAAAGAAGTGTACCATCAGTAATGGTAATGGAAGAAATTTCGTCGAAAAATACTGTAGATTGTTACATAGACAACGATATCATAGATAATGGGCATTATGCTATTCTACACAAATGACGGGTACTATATAAATCTTACACAGGTAACGGTATCATAGATGACGGATGCTTTTTGATTTCAGTGATTTGTGTTATTGCACGAAACTGTGGTTGCGATATTACATCTTGCGATTTTTGTGTATATTTTTCTTGCTCAGTTTTTTTGTAATCTAAAATTTAATTCAAACACCTTTACTAAATCTTAATTCAAATTTTTAAATCTTTGGTTTAGTAATTTCTCAAATTATTCTAATATCTTGCCGAAATTTTATTATTTCATCCTATCACAATTCAAACCTTTATAGTGGAAACATTTCATTTCATCAAAACATTTCAAAATTCCAATCAATAATTCATCAATTGCTTTCTTTAAAAAGTTATATGAATATATGAATCAAAATATGTTTCCGAAGAAAAATGCTAAGAGCCAGATATGCAAGAAACAGATTCTAAAATTTCAACGAAGAGAAAATAATAAAAGAATACCAAATGTTGTTCCAGTGAAGTCAGCAGCAATAGGACCTCCTTGACTACCAGTTATTGGTGTAAGTTCGCTATCATATTTCGTAAGATAATAACAATCAATATCATATGGTTTTTCATTGAAAATGAGAAATTCACCATCTTATAAAGAAAAATAAACTTTTTTTTAAATTAAATATAAAAGGTAAGGAAAATTGTGAATGATTATTAAAAATTGAAAAAGCTCCTTTCTAGAAGCAAACAATATCATAATTTTATCAGTGAATGATAAAAAGCTGTCAACTATGATTTATTCACAATATTATCAATAAATGATAAAATAGCTGATCCGTTATAATTTCTTTCGTATGATCCAATTAACTTTAATAATTATGATTTATAAATGAATTAAAATTTACTCTAAAATAATTATCATTTATAATGAATGAAAATTTACTCTAAGATAATTATCATTTATAAATGAATTAAAACTTGCTCTAAAATAATTATCATTTATAAATGAATTAAAACTTGCTCTAAAATAATTATCATTAATAAATGAATTGAAAAAAAATTAATTACTCTAAAATAAATGTAAACAAATGAAGTAGGAATTACTTGCGAAAGGTGAATGACATTTGGTACATGTAAAACAACATCTATGCCATAATTTATTCATTGCTTTTACACATGTCTCTCGTAAAGCTTTCTTACAAACTAAATAACTAAAATATTTTCGACAAATATGCAAATTTTGAAAAGTTTGAAATTTTCAAAAACATTCAAACAATTTTTTAAATATAATCAAAATAATTGTATTCGTAAGAATTTAAAATTAGAATTGAAATAAAATTGCTATCAAAAAAATAATCAATTCAATCAACCATTGCATTTTGGATGATATTCTTCCATATAGCAATCAATACAGATCGGATAATTCCTATTGCTGCGACATTTTCGAAATGATCGACCATCATAACCGACCAGGCAATTACAACGTATGCAAGTGAAATGTTCTCGATGCCATATTTTATTCAATGAATAGATTACATTATGCTTAAGAAATATTTAACTTTAATTTAGAATGCTTTATTTTTGATTTAAAGTTAATATTAAATTAATTTCCAAAACAGAATAATTAATAATTCATAGATAGCAAATATAATAGTAAAATTATGATAGTGATAGTATCTATCTTTATTTCTGTTGTATTCTAATTTGACAGTTAAATTCACCGATATGCCTAAATCTTCTTTTCCCCTAAATTTGGATTAAGGATTTGAAATTTTTTAATTTTCGAAATGTAATATATCAAAGTAATAAAATCTTTTATTTTTCGTCCTATCATTATATTTTACTTTTATTTACCATTTAAATGAATTCTAATAATTTCGATTTATTAATTAATTATTTTTGAAATTTTTATTTTTATTTGTAAAATTTTCAATTCCTCGTGTTTTTTAGTTTTTTTCAAAATTCTAACAATTTTTTATTATACCATAAGAGTTTGTTTTCGTGTGATCGGCTCATTACAACGATTACAACGTATCATCCATTTTCCTTCCTTTCTTTTTGCAATTTCAGTTAAACCTGAGGATTCAAATATATTCAAAACAGAATTCGAATCACTTCCAATTTCTGTTTTACTTCGCATACTAAAATGAAAATGCCACCGTAATTATATGCAATAGCAATTCATCGTACTTCAAGCAATTTTGCAATAAACTTTTTTAATGACAGCTTTATGCTGCATTTATCGATCGATGTCCTTTTATACTATTTCTTTTTTAAAATTTTATTCAAATAAATATATAATGCCCACTTATTTGGCTATATATTCAAGTAATAGAAATTGAATAAAATTTTGAAAAATGAACACCCAACTGGTAAAGAAAATTTTTCATCAATAACTATTTATCATATATCTCTCTTCTTAAATTTATTATTTATAATTGACTGAAAAAAAAATTAAATTAAATAATTTATTTAAATATTTAAATATTATAACTATGAAATTGAATATCATTTAATGCTGTAAATTTTAAATATTTTAATTTAATAAAATTAAATTAAAAAAATTTCAATTCTTCCTCATTTTATTTTATTATATTTTTTTAAAACTATTTTATAACAATTCCCATTTTCCGATATGATAATTGCTTTGAATATTAAGAAGATAAAATTAAAATATAAATTTTATTTACTTCAAAAATCATTTTGATAAATGATAAAGCATTGATTTGAAATTATCATTCATTTTGAAATTATCGCTTATTGCAGGCCGTAGAATAAACTTTATAACTTTAGTGGAATAAAATTATCACTTATTTTAACAATCATTGTCAATTAGCAAAAATTTTTTATCACTAAATTATTTCCCCCTTAATTTGTTTTATCACTAAATTATTTCTCCCTTAATTTATTTTATCACTAAATTATTTCTCCCTTAGTTTAAAGAAATTGCAAAAGTTTTTTAATGAATTCCTTCAAAAAATAAATAAGCTTAACATTCTTCAACGAATCATTCGGTGAAATGAATCAGTAAAACAGCTGCATAACTTATTGATTTATTATATGTATTATTTGAAATTCAAAATAATATATAAATATAAGTTTGTAAAATTTTGTTGCTATTTCATTTTAACTTTGAAAATACACCAAATGTTTCTCATTTATCTTCACATTTTAACAATTAATTCAACTTCTCCTTCATTTTCTTTTATTTTATTTTTCCCCCCTGGATCATCGAATAATGGTTATGGGATCAATAATATGACAGCTTATTGGAAAAAATGTGGCATCATAAACTGGAATGTAGCAGGGTAAACTAGAATTATCGTAGATATAAGTGAAGGGTTATTTTTG